ATTGAAACACTTGTTGTCACCACGCATTAATGCAGTGCCTGGTTTAGCGATTCCCTAACTTTGGCTATGCTACTCTCGCCTGTGTGCATATTATACAGGTTTTCATACAATTGACTCTTTGCTTACGCAAACGCAGGCTCTTTTACAGCTCTCATATCAGGCTTAAGAGTTTGAATTTCTTCCGCGTGTTGTCATTAGTTTGTGGAATGGTGTGGTGGTCCACAGTGTGTGAGCTTGCGCTCTCTCCCATCTCCAGACAAACATTTTTAATGCAAAGATCATACGAACGGCCTAGACAACGCCTACCAAGATTCTGTTAGACGGAGCGGAGAGGGGCAAAAGGGGTACTTTAAAGACCTGAATCATTGATTCTATCTTCCGTTAAGTACAAGACCCCTCGTTTACACTTTGCTATTTCTTAACCTTGTTCTCTTTCGATTTTAGAGCCAGAGGCCGATTTCTCCGAATCCACCTTTTACGACCGACTGGCCAGATGAGCCTTCAAAGTCATTGCCAGTCCAACGCAGGGAAGTTATTGGATCCTCTGCACTGGAAGATCTCTGATTTTTTCCTTCGTTTTTTTTTGCCCACAACCGTGTTCTTTCAACTCGCGAATAATTTGACTTATCTGTTGTTTCTTCTTCCCCTGTTTCGTAATCACGTTGATTTTTTTTAAAATATTGTCGCTTGAATATTTGAGAAAATATAACACTCATCGACGCACCGAATCTCAGTTATTACAGAAAACTGTTGTCAGTTTTCTATGTCGTAGCTGTTGGGGAATTCTGTGACCGTGCATGCTGATGAAATATTTTTATATCGCAGATCAGCCCTCTGGGTCGCAGTCCATGTGCTTGTTGTTCCTTTTCCTTCCTTGACTCGGTTCATAAATAGATTACTGGGACTCATCTTTGGTCACGCATCTCAAAGTGTGCGCTCCATGTTTCGGGAATATACCAAAAAAATTGTTGGACGTAAAGGTTTGACAGACAAGTAGTTTTATAAAATGCTGTCCTTTGTAGGTATAGTTTGGTCAGAATTCGCCGAACGTACACATACATTAAGTTGGTTAGGTCTAGTGTAGCAAGCGTAAACGGGCCATTTATTTTTTTTCGCCGGGCCAGTAGTTAATTGAGTTAGATATTTTTTGGCCAAATGCTAAAAGATACCCACGCCGCAGATGCCTCTCGTTTACCAGGGCCATAAATAGGCAGATATAGAGTTATTACATAGGGGGCTAGGCTCAAAGAATAGCTTACACACCGGGCCAACAATATGGTTTTTTGCTCTCATTTTCAGCCAAATGTTCTGCATAGCCTTGTTGCTGATTCGGCAGTATACGCGAATGAATAAACATGTTAGGCGAGTGCTGACGTGGGTTGCGGTGCCTCAACCGGTGGGTCAGCTTGCTTAAAACGGGTTTTTCAGTGTTGGTGTTTCCGAGGAAGTGCAAGGCAGAAAAAGAGCTAAACAAGACAACTTACTGT